GTGGTTTAGGACCACTGCTAGAGTGTCACTTGGGTGACCGCTATGAGTCTACTGGAGCTGCATCCAAGATGGCAGCACTCAGCAGCAGTCTCAGGGCTTTCGGATGTCTACACAAGGGAGGAATTTATAGGTAATTAAAGTGGATAAAATACTTTAAATGCACATATCATGTTAGGGGAAGATTGATCTTGAAATGAATGGTGTGGGTTCAGGGTCTCCAATGCAGTAGACTGGTATACATGTTGTATCCATTTTATGTGATGGAACACCACTGAATTCGGTAGTACGGCATCCTCCCCGGCGTGTCCTCCAATGTGGGATTTTTGTTGATCACACATTAACAATTGTGAAAACAAGAAATCCTGTAAACCCAGCTGTTGTCATTACGCAGACCAGGCCGACCCCTCTGGGCCATGTCACCCCAGCAATCTTATGGCAGCTACAAATCTCTGTAATTATTCCTTCCAGCGACATGTGGTTGGCTGCAGAGCCGCTGCTGTCATTGAAAGCAATTCTTGTCCATACCGCTACAGATAGCCGATGCACCATTATCCTCGGCGTCTGCACTGGGAATCAGGAGTAGCTACTGCAGCTGGTAAATCTGGAGCAAACTTCAAACATCAGTTGCTGAGCTACAAATTGCTGGATTCGCTGTGACAGATTTCAAGCACTGCAATTCATAATTTGTTTTTGCAGCAGAAACGGAGAGCGGAGCAATTGTGTAGCTGCTACATTTGTCATGTGGCACGTCTCAGAGGTCGTATAGCCCAGCAACCTGTCTGTAGTTGTATGACATGCTTAAAATACATTAAATACACGTATACAATGCTTTGAAAAAGTATTCATACCTCTTGAAATGTTCCCCATGTTGTCGTGTTACAACCAAAACCGTAACTGTATTTTATTGGGATTTGAGGTGATAGACCAACACAAAGTGGCACATAATTGTGAAGTGGAAGGAAGATGATAAATGGTTTTCAACATTTTTTACAAATAAATGTCTGAAAAGTGTGGCGGCATTTGTATTCAGTCCCCCGGAGTCAATACTTTGTAGGACCCCCTTTGGCTGCAATTCCATCTGCAAGTCTTTTTGGGGATGTCTCTCCCAGCTTTGCACATCTAGAGAGGGACATTTCTGCCCATTCTTCTCTGCAGAATCCCTCAAGCTCTGTCAGATTGGATGGAGAGCGTCTGGGAACAGCAATTTTCAAGTCTTGCCACAGATTCTCCATTGGATTTAGGTCTGGACTGTGACTGGGCCATTCTAACACATGAAGATGCTTTGATCTAAACCATTCCATTGTAGCTCTGGCTGGATGTTTCGGGTCGTTGTCCTGCTGGAAGGTGAACCTCCGCCCCCGGTCTCAGGTCTTTTGCAGATTCTAACAGGTTTTCTTCTAAGATGTTCCTGTATTTGGCTCCATCCATCTTCCCATCAACTCTGACCAGCTTCCCTGTCCCTGCTGAAGAAAAGCATCTCAACAACATGATCTGACCAGAGCCCCTTCTTCCACATGTTTGCTGTGTCCCCCAAATGGCTTCTCACAAACTGCAAAAATGGGACTTCTTATGGCTTTCTTTCAACAATGGCTTTTCTTCTTGCCACTCTTCCATAAAGGCCAGATTTGTGGAGTGCACGACTAATAGTTGTCCTGTGGACAGATTCTCCCACCTGATCTGTGGATCTCTGCAGCTCTCCAGAGTTCCCATGGGCCTCTTGGCTGCTTCTCTGATTAATGCTCTCCTTACCCGGCCTGTCGGTTTAGGCGGACGGCCATATCTTAGTAGCTTTGCAGTTGTGCCATACTCTTTCCATTTTCAGATGATGGATTGAACAGTGCTCTGTGAGATGTTCAAAGCTTAGGATATTTTTTTCATGACCTAACCCTGATTTAAACTTCTCCACAACTTTATTCCTGACCTGTCTGGTGTGCTTCTTGGCCTTTTATGATGCTGTTTGTTCACTAATGTTCTCTAACAAACCTCTGAGGGCTTCACAGAACAGCTGTATTTATACTGAGATTACATTACACACAGGTGGACTCTATTTACTAATTAGGTGACTTCTGAAGGCAATTGGTTCCACTAGATTTTAGTTAGGGGTATCAGAGTAAAGGGGGCAGAATACAAATGCACTCCACACTTTTCGGTTATTCATTTGTAAAAAAATTTGAAAATCATTTATCATTTTCCTTCCACTTCACAAATATGTGCCACTTTGTTGGTCTAGCACACAAAATACCAATAAAATAAATTTATGTTTTTGGTTGTAACATGAAAACACGGGGAACATTTCAAGGAGTATGAATCATTTTTTAAGGCACTGTAGGGCTCTTGCTCAGAGCTGTATATTGGGGTGTGTGGCCATACAGAGTAAAATATAACTGGTAAGTATGATGTCTGAGAATCACAGCTGCTGCATAATTTTGCCCATAGACGTGAAATCTAGAATATACTGTACATAGCAAGACACACCTAAACAGCAGTACTTGTGTTTGCATGTGTAGAGACTTATTTTTCTGAATGCAAAATTTTAGCATTCATGTCTATGGGCAAAACTATGCAGTAGCTGTGGATCCCGGGTGCCACAAATACAGGCGTATGTATGGCCATACACCCTGATACACGTCTGTGTGCAAGAGGCCTTACAGTACAAAAGTCTGCAATACCTACCTCTCCTTCAATGGTCCAAGGTGCCTCACCAGTGCCGGCATCTTCTATTCTACTCTGTCTGGCCATACACCTTAATATACAGCCATGTGCCTGAATTCATCTATGTAAAAAAAAATGTTTGTAAAAAAGAATTGTCTGACAACATCATCTATTTAATCCAAAGCAGGAGACAGGTGTAAATGTTTCATACATTCTATAGGATGGAATCGCCATTGTAGTGGCACGACATCCTCCCCAGCATGTCCTCCATTCGGTTTATGTAAGGAGACGCTGTGGATTCACCATGACAGATTTCACTGATTGCAATTCAGTTGTTTTTTTTGTTTGTTTTTTTTTTTGGAACGTTTTTTTTGATGATGCTGACTGGTTTTTTTATTGTTCATGTGACATCTGAGGTTGTATTTCACAGCAAAATATCTATAGATGGAAAACTGAAAGGCAGTGTCTGTTGTAAAGTATATAAAGCCTGTATAATAATAATGGGCAGCACAGTGGCTAAATGGTTAGCACATTCGCCTGGCAGTACTAGGGTCGTTGGTTCAAATCCCAGCCACGGCACCACCTGCCTATTTCACAGCAAAAATATCTATAGTTATGGTCTAAAAACTGAAAGGCAGTGTCTGTTGTAATGTACAATATATATGTAAAGCCTGTAAATGAATAATAATATGAAATAATAATGTACCCAATGAAACATTATTTTGCTTTCTAATATTAACTATGACATACGCACTCACACTCTATATTGCCAAAAGTATTGGTCGGCCTGCCTTTACACACACATGAACTTTAATGGCCCCCCAGTCTTAGTCTGTAGGGTTCAATATTGAGTTGGCTCCGCCCTTTGCAGCTATAACGCTTCAACTCTTCTGGGAAGGCCGTCCACAAGGTTTAGGAGGGTGTTTATGGGAAGGTTGGACCATTCTTCCAGAAGCATATTTGTGAGGTCAGGCACTGATGTCGGGGGAGGAGGCCTGGATCACAGTCTCTGCTCTAATTCATCCCAAAGGTGTTCTATGGGGTTGAGGTCAGGACTCTGTGCAGGCCAGTCAAGTTCCTCCACCTCAAACTCGCTCATCCATGTCTTTATGGACCTTGCTTTGTGCACTGGTGCGCAGTCATGGTGGAACAGGAAGGGGCCATCCCCAAACTCTTCCCACAAAGTTGGGAGCTTGAAATTGTCCAAAATGTCTTGGTATGCTGACGCCTTAAGAGTTCCCTTCACTGGAACTAGGGGGCCAAGCCCAACCCTGAAAAACAACCCCACACCATAATACCCCCTCAACCAAACTTTACACTTGGTACAATGCAGTTAGAAAAGTACTGTTCTCCTGGCAACTGCCAAACCCAGACATGTCCATGGGATTACCAGACAGAGAATCGTGATTGGTCACTCCAGAGAACACGTCTCCACTGCTCTAGGTCCAGTGGTGGCGTGCTTTACACCACTGCATCTGACGGTTTGCATTGCACTTGGTGATGTAAGGCTTGGATGCAGCTGCTCGGTCATGGAAACCCATTCCATGAAGCTCTCTATGCACTTGTGCTAATCTGAATTATATAATATAATCTATGAAGGTGCCTCATCTTTATAGATTATATTCACTTTATATTGATACCTGCAATATTGTGGTGGCTGATATGTGGTTTTGATCCACTTCACCTTTTCTATACCATAGCGCGAATATATTTCAATAATTTTTTCGGAATTATAATAACAAAAATATAATTTTAATTATTTTGTATAGCGTCGACACTTTATAAAATAGAGTACAATAGGGATCAGAGGGCCCTGTTCATAGTAGCATACAATCTAAAAGAAAGGGTCAATTAATACAAGGGGGAGTGATGAGTTGATGGAGAAAATAAAAGTACAGTTTATTAGGTGGTGGTGGGATAGGCCTCTATAGTGGTGAGTTTTCAAGGATCGCCTAAGGGCGAATGGAATAGGACACTGGGGTAGGGAGTTCCAAGGGATGGGAGAAGTCCTGAAGGAGAAAATGGGAGCAGGTAATGGATGGAAGCCAAACAGCAAGAGGATGTCTTGGGAAGAGAGGAGAGAATGGTTTGGTTGATATTTAGAGATGAGGTTGGCAATTGAGGGCAGAGTTGTGAATGGCTTTGTGTGTTGGTGTTTAGAATTTTGTATCTATACTTACGAAAGCCTTTATGCTCCGGTACTGTTAGATGGGATAGGCAATGAAAGACATTAGAGCTTTTTAAACGACGCTTATACAGCAAACTGATTTTTAGAAATTCACCAACATTCTGTACATTTGGATATATTTACATTTATTTGAACACGTTTCCTCTTCTCCCGCCTTCCAGGAAGAGTAATGGGAAGATCGTACTCTCACATGCCGCCGCACGGTGGAAAGGACGGTCTGAGCGAAGCTGGGGCACCATCGGAAGACACTAGTGCACTGGTGAGCTCAGAGGCCCATGAAGAAGGGAGGACTGGAGACGTGTCCCATTTCCCCTATGTGGAGTTCACAGGGAAAGACAGCGTGACCTGTGCCACGTGCCAGGGGACAGGACGCATCCCCAGAGGTGAGAACTGATCAGCAGAACCTCCATTGTTATGTAAAGCTCAAATCTAGGATAAAAGTGACCACCACCACCCCCCCCCCCCAATCTTTATTTAAAGAAAATCTGTACTTAAAACCCGTTCAGGCTATAACCCCTTTTCACCCATATTCTGTACAATGTTCCCCAGCACCCTACTCCCTTTTGAGCGCCACCCGATGAAACCTTGCAAAGCTGGTGGCTCTCCATCCCGACAGTCACAGGCATCACCGGTCCCCACTGACAATTGGGAACCAATCATGGTGGATCCTGAAAATGGGGTTGCTCACTATGTCAGCTGAGACATAATGATTCCATGGAGGCTGAAGGCTGCATTTAAAAAAAAATGACACTTCAGCCTGCAAATGGCACCACTACCTAAAAGCGGCAGTGTACATCTGTTTATTGTGGTAATTGTTGGATACAATTAGAGTATTAAAAAACCATTTAATAGATTTAAAATACAATTTGTTTTTCAGCCTTTAATTAACAAAACAGAGCAGAGCAAAAGAAAAAAAAACAATGTGTGTAATATGCATATTTAGTCATAATGGCATTTTCCTAAAGCAGGGAATGTTACATTCACTGCAGGTGAATCATTCATTGTTTATTAAAAACCACACATTCAACATGAAGATTTGCCTGCAGTGAATGTTTGGTGAATGTGACTTTCTTTGTGTTATAGATATACATCATTGAAGTCTTGCTAAGTTAAAGTGTGTGTAAATCCAAAATCTACAGTACCTTGAAAAAGTATTCACGCCCCTTGACATTTTCCACATTTTGTCTAGTTACAACCAAAAACGTCAATGTATTTTATTGGGATTTTATGTGATAGACCAACACAAAGTGGCACATAATTGTGAAGTAGAAGGAAAATGAGAAATGAGTTTTCTAAATCTTTTACATATAAATATCTTGGATAAAGTTGTGGAGAAGTTTAAAGCAGGGTTAGATTATAAAAAAATCTCCCAAGCTTTGACCATCTCACGGGGCACTGTTCAATCCGTCATCTGAAAATGGAAAGAGTATGGCAGAATTGCAAACCTACCAAGACATGGCCGTCCACCTAAACTGACAGGCCAGGCAAGGAGAGCATTCATCAGAGAAGCAGCCAAGAGGCCCATGGGAACTCTGGAGGAGCTGCAGAGATCCACAGCTCAGGTGGGAGAATCTGTCCACAGGACAACTATTAGTCGTGCACTCCACAAATCTGGCCTTTATGGAAGAGTGGCAAGAAGAAAGCCATAAGAAGTCCTGTTTGCAGTTTATGAGAAGCCATGTGGGGGACACGGCTAACGTGGAAGAAGGGGCTCTGGTCAGATGAGACCAAAATAGAACTTTTTTGGCCTAAAAGCAAAACGCTATGTGTGGGGGAAAACTAACACTGCACTGCACCCTGAACACACCATCCCCACTGTGAAACATGGTGGTGGCAGCATCATGTTGTGGGGATGATTTTCTTAAAGCAGGGACAGGGAAGCTGGTCAGAGTTGATGGGAAGATGGATGGAGCCAAATACAGGGACATCTTAGAAGAAAACCTGTGAGTCTGCAAAAGACCTGAGACCGGGGCGGAGGTTCACCTTCCAGCAGGACAACAACCCGAAACATCCAGCCAGAGCTACAATGGGAATGGTTTAGATCAAAGCATATTCATGTGTTAGAATGGCCCAGTCACAGTCCAGACCTAAATCCAATGGAGAATCTGTGGCAAGACTTGAAAATTGCTGTTCCCAGATGCTCTCCATCTAATCTGACAGAGCTTGAGTGATTCTGCAAAGAAGAATGGGCAGAAATGTCCCTCTCCAGATGTGCAAAGCTGGGAGAGACATCCCCAAAAAGACTTGCAGCTGAAATTACAGAGAAAGGGGGTCCTACAAAGTATTGACTCCGGGGGGCTGAATACAAATGCCGCCACACTTTTCACAGATTTATTTGTAACACATATTGAAAACCATTTCTCATTTTCCTTCCACTTCACAATTATGTGCCACTTTGTGTTGGTCTATCACATCAAATCCCAATAAAATACATTGATGTTTTTAGTTGTAACATGACAAAATGTGGAAAATTTTGAGGGGTATGAATACTTTTTCAAAGCTCTGTATTTCACGCTATATTTTGTATCACGCCACACTGTATACAGTTTTCAAATCGTTGTGCAAATCTTTTTTTTCTAAAATTTATTTTTCATGTTTTTCTGGAATGTTTTAACAGGTAATTTTTTAAAAAAATGTTTTCTTGTGTAATGTTTTTTTTAATCATATTTAATTTAGAATTGTTTTTACAATTTTAATATAATATGAAAAATTACCTTAATTTTAATATACTGTACATTTTTATTATACTTTTTGTTATTTTTGTAAATTTGTTACAAAGTTTCTTATCTGGAGATCCTGCCAGGTATTTATTTCAGGTACTTATATAGCGCCATCAATTTACGCAGCACTTTACATATATATTGTACATTCACATCAGTCCCTAACCCTCAAGGGGCGTACAATCTAAGGTCCCTAACTCACATTCATACATACACAAACTAGGGACAATTTATACAGGAGCCAATTAACTTATCAGCATGTCTTTGGAGTGTGGGAGGAAACCGGAGTACCTGGAGGAAACCCACGCAGGCACAGGGAGAACATGCAAACTCCAGGCAGGTGGTGTCATGGCTGGGATTCGAACCAACGACCCTAGTACTGCCAGGCGGAAGTTCTAACCATTTAGCCACTGTGTTGCCTATAGCACGTCCTGTTTCAGGTGATCATGCCAAGCTGCTGCCTCACTACTGGCAGCAGTGTTGTCAGCCTGATGCATGCTCCAGTTGGCCATTGAGTTGCCTATTATTTAGCCGATGGTGAATTGAAGGCACATCCTCAGCATGCTTTCAAACCACTGTTAATTGTAAGTCAGCAGCTAGGCCTTGTCAACCTGTAAGTGGCAAGATCCATGTATACAGTGAAGCATGATACTAAACATGTAAAGGAAAAAAAAATGTACATGCCCTTTAACCATTTGCCGCCCGCCCTATGGCCGAATGGCGGCCAGCAATTGTCATCAGCGTTCCATGTTTTAGTTTGGGTACAATGTTGTATGACCGCGCAATTATCATTCAAAGTGTGAGAGCGCTGAAACCTGAAAACTGGCCTGGGCAGGAAGGTGTAAAATTGCCCGGTATTGAATTGGTTAAATGAGACAGCTTTGGCCCGGACATCTCTGGTTTGGAGAGGGTTAATCAGAAATCAGAACTTTAATTATGTTTTGCATTCAACAAGCCGGACTTGTTGCCAGAACACGGTGTACATACACGGCCCATTGAAATGAGTGTGATTCAGGTGAGTGAACATTTGGCAGGCCAAGCTGACCTTCATAGCTCCCTGTGCCTCTCCCCACCATTTGTCAGTTGTGTTTAATCAGTCACCTTTTGATATGTTGGCAGGTTTTGTATCGGCTGCGTCCTGATGTTTGGCTGTGTGATGTGTCTTCGGTTCCTCGGAATAATGCTTAAAGCCGAAATTTTTAGATAAATACCTTTTTGTTTTCAAAAGAGATCCTATCTTAGACCCAGTTGTTTCATCACTTGGTCTGTGTGTTTCTCTATGCATTTCAGGCAGATCATGGTTGATGGGAGAGGGGCCAGCAGAGTGCTTTACATAGCTTCCTGAAAACTTCACAGCCCCCTGCCTCAGTACTCTTCTCGAGAGTCCTTAGTCCTGATGCAAGGAGGGGGCTGGTTCTTGAGAGGAGTTAGGCAAATATCTAAATGCCTTTCTGGGTGGGTATCAGTCTAGATGAGTGAGTGTTCCTAGGCAGAATGCATTTGTATGTGCACTGCCCTAAGTAACACCATGTGTAATACTGCGCCTCCATGGTTGAATTGAAATCCAATAAATGAAGGTTGGGGAAGAAAGTGCTAGATGACGCTGGACGTCCTCCAGCCAGGAAATGAGGCGGAGCTCTATCTGATTTGCAGCTTCTAATGCACATTGTGTCCAATGACACAGCTGATCACAAAGTAATTACAGTTGCCGGTTATCGGCAGCACTCTCCTTACACTGTCACAGCGTGAGCAAAGTACTGCCAATAACCGGCAAGTGTCACAGAGGACATCTACACTGATAATCAGGGCACTGATTATCAACGCAGCTCCAAAAGTGCCCAGCAGTGCCACCAGTCAGTGCGGCGTCATTAGTGCCTGTTCATCAATTCCCATCAGTGCCGCATATCGGTGCAGCCTCATCGGTGCGCAGCCTCATCGGTGCCGCATATCGGTGCAGCCTCATCGGTGCGCAGCCTCATCGGTGCCGCATATCGGTGCAGCCTCGTCGGTGCCGCATATCGGTGCAGCCTCGTCGGTGCCGCATATCGGTGCAGCCTCGTCGGTGCCGCATATCGGTGCAGCCTCGTCGGTGCCGCATATCGGTGCAGCCTCGTCGGTGCCGCATATCGGTGCAGCCTCGTCGGTGCCGCATATCGGTGCAGCCTCGTCGGTGCCGCATATCGGTGCAGCCTCGTCGGTGCCGCATATCGGTGCAGCTTTGTCGGTGCCGCATATCGGTGCAGCCTCGTCGGTGCCGCATATCGGTGCGCAGCCTCGTCGGTGCCGCATATCGGTGCGCAGCCTCGTCGGTTGCCGCATATCGGTGCGCAGCCTCGTCGGTGCCGCATATCGGTGCGCAGCCTCGTCGGTGCCGCATATCGGTGCGCAGCCTCGTCAGTGCCGCATATCGGTGCGCAGCCTCGTCGGTGCCGCATATCGGTGCGCAGCCTCGTCGGTGCCGCATATCGGTGCGCAGCCTCGTCGGTGCCGCATATCGGTGCGCAGCCTCGTCGGTGCCGCATATCGGTGCGCAGCCTCGTCGGTGCCGCATATCGGTGCGCAGCCTCGTCGGTGCCGCATATCGGTGCGCAGCCTCGTCGGTGCCGCATATCGGTGCGCAGCCTCGTCGGTGCCGCATATCGGTGCGCAGCCTCGTCGGTGCC